ACGGCACCTACAGATTGGAGTGGGCTCGCGTCGTGGATTATGCCCTGATATCCTTTGGCTTTTACCCATCAGCGGAACTTGAATAGGATGTTAATAAATTTTACTATATTAATATTTTATAATTTACTTATATGCAATACAAATTATCGTCAATTTATCTATCAATCGAACAAAATTGTCGTATATTAATTGCCTGTAACATGCACGCCTTCAGCCACAAATAATAGTATTTATCAATGAACATCTGAATTACGCTACATTATTAAGTTGTTTTTTACCACCATTTTTACCTCAGTGTTGCGATTGTTTTATGACACAACAAAAAACTTGGTAGTTTTCCGTTTTTTAGAGTTAACCAAATATTAAGAGAAAAAATTTATATAAAAAGGAAATATCTGTCGGTCTTGCTCTCAACTTTTTACAATGGGTAGCGATATGAGTTTAACATTGATAGCTTCAAAGCTTATCTTTTATGTAACTATGTGCATTTAACTAATTGAATTAAACTATGTGCACTAATTGAGCTACCCGTGATAGCTCACTGTCTGGGCACTCGCCTTTAATTCAATATAATCGAACAACCTGAGTTCGATCCCCGATGTCGACACCAATGAAATTGTTAATTTTAAGTGTTGACTCATCACGTGCTCCGCCGTGAAACCATCACGAGGAAACCTGCATATTTTTGAAATAATAACAAAAAAAAAATATTTAGAAGATATGGAAGTCCGCCAATCCGCAGTGGGGCAGCGTGGTCGACTATGTCCTGATACACTCTGTACAGAGGACGCCTTTGCCCTAGCAGTAGGATGTATGTGTAGACTGTTACTTTATTTTTATTTTTAATTGACCTACTATAAATAATCTAAAGCACATTTAATTAAAGGATCAAGCTTTGTAATGAATTACGTGTTCTATATTAGAGATACAATTTTTTTGCTATAAGCCCAGAAAGAAGATTGCTTTACGTCGGACTGAATTATCTTCGTTCGATTGATTACTAGGTTGACATTACTAATTACACAAACACTCAGTTTCATCTTATTTACTCGTATATTTATTGGTACGCACTGGACATAAATTTAGGGACCTACGCGACCTTCGTATCAGATGTTGATAAACCTATTAATTATTACAAACTGCTTATTAAATAAACCTAGCCGTATCATGTTACTACAATATGTATTGGTGGCTGTTATCGTTTAATGTTACATAATGACATAGTTAAATCCTAAGTAAGAAATTTAATAAGATTTTCTTTCAATTAGTGCCTGTAACTAGAAATATTTAAAAGGGCTCTTAAAAGAATTCTTATTCCATAAGTGCTTAAGCTGGTGTTTCTCTAATATATTTCGAAATGAGACCGTTATGTTAAAAATTGTATGAAAATGAAACAAAAACGTGCGGTTACTTATGTCCGTAACGTAAGAAGTTATACTTTTTAATAAGTTATAATTTTATACCAGTACTCTTTGCTTGTGAAAAAGGTATATTAAATGCAATAACTGATGCGGTTTAATTTAATAACTTGGAATTATAGGTAGGGTTGCTCCCTAGGTGTAGGTTTTTTTTTAAGGAAGTAAGTGGTAACAGGGCATTTTTGCTGAGAAATTAAATATCATTAAAGTATTAAGTACTGTTTCTAATTTATAATAAAGTATTAAGAACTGTTTCTAATTTAAGACGAAAACTTACACGAACTTTCCCACTCAAATTCCATAATACAATAACTAAATCTTATTCTTTCATCAACAAAATCATGCCATAGGAAAATACTAAAATTATATTAAACAATATAATTTCAGCCTTTACGCATACCGTATATTATTTTTAATTGAATATTTTTCTTGTTTTATGTTCCGTGATAACGAGATTTTAATGTGTACTATATAATTTTCTTTAAAATTTTTACGTAGGACACGTTCCAGTGAACACATTCATGAAGGTTTTTTCAACTTGTGGCATTTTACTTGTAGTTATTTAGTTTTTAGTCTACTTCTAACTGGCATTAAGCCCGGCTATTGCCAGGATTTGCCTACTTACTTAAACTTCTCCACTTTGCCCTATATTCGACATACTTAGAGTTCAGTGCATTGACTCTCATGTCCTGCTTCACGACTTCCAGCTATCGCTTTCTTGGGTAAGCTCCGGGGAGTTGCCACAAATTTTATTGTTATTTGAGAATAAAGTGAAGAAAACAGAAATGCTAAAGGGCCTTTTATTATTTATTTTTCGTCGTTTTAGTCAAATAGTTTACTTTTTAACGAGTCTGAATGTTAATAACCTATAACTTCGCTGATACGTGTATAATCTCTTATATAATAGTTATAAATAGTTTCATGCAGTAGACATTATTATGATTTCGTGTGCCACCCATATTTCACTGGAGCTATCTGCTTCGCTTATCGACTTTTTCTTATAAAAGTTTTGAGCAATATATTGGGAATGATAAAATTTCTCAAGCTCTCATGTCATACAAAACTGTTAAATTATTATGTGATCACGTGGAAAGCGGAAAATGAAACGAAATTTTAAAATTTTTGAAGAGCTCCATATACGAAACCAGGACGAACTGAGTATCGATTATAGATCGAGATTCGTGCCACTGGACCAGTGCAATAGTAGTCGCTGAACGGAGGTAATTCATTACTCTAATAACAGACGAGAGGCTATATTGGGATGTTGACTTAACAAAGACGTTATGATAAACGCCCAACACTTAGGAGTTGCGTAAACTGGGCGGCAGTTTGGAGTAATGATGACATTAATATCCCGAGAACAACGAAATTCACAGCATGTTTGAATTTTTAGCTTTCTTTGAATTATAACGATTGTATGGAGAGATACTAGGAGAATGGATTTGTGTGTATAAGTTTGCTTGCGAAGTAATCGCATGCCACCACTTATAGCAGCTTGAAAAATTAAAAATAAATATTTCAAAGCAGTTTTGCTATTGAAGTTAACTGCGGTAGGGCCACACTACAGCTTATGCTGTTGCCTGAATGGAGTGTCTTGGTGACATATTCGTTGGTTTAGCGATCAGCCGCTTAGCTTAGTGGCTAAATCGTCAGGGCGCGAATCCCGAAGACGTGGGTTAGATTCCCACAGCGGTGAAACCCTTTTCGTACTTTTTCTACAAATTTTAATGTGTAATAATATTTTAGTTTTATTAAAGTCGCGACAAACTTTGCTTATTAAAAATGAGTAATTCTCCTTTTTAAACTTTTGAGCAGAAAAAAATAAGAGCAATAACATCGATATTGTAAATATATTTATTGTTTAAATATATTTATTGTAAATTTATTCAGAAACAGATAATTACTAGCAATTCAAGGACCGGGAACATGATAAATGTGAACAGACTTCGCACGCATCCACTATAGCTAAAAGTTCTAATTAGAAGAATTTTTTTTTACATGACAATTTTTTTATGCAAACTTATTACATTAAATATGAATTTTAATTCAAATATAAAAATAATTATAATACACGAAATTGCTAATAGTTGCTAGCTAAATTCGTTCTTACTAGAAAATGTCAGTATATGCTTTTTAAATGTTTGATGCACTTTATACTCATTTTGATCCGGAAAACATAGTCTTGATGCTACCTTAAAATTAATATTTTTGTAATTCATCTGTACTATTAAACTTATAGTACGTATTCTATATATAAATGCGGTATGTTATAGCACATTTATTGGGGTAACACTAATTAAGATACATATTTAAGTATATATTTATATTGAACTGTTTTTATGGATACCATTAAACCCTAAAATTAGAAAGTCAGGCATTCGAAAAAAATTAATACCTAAAATAAATACTTAATGTCGGTTTCTTAAATTTAAAATGAGACGATTCATATAAATGTATAACAGCTATAGTGTTTAGTTAATAATCTACAAATTAACGTGTTGATCGCAATTACCAGTGAGTTATTCAATTCCTTTTGAACATGATTTTTTAACTTATTCTTTTAATTCGTTTTAAATTTGGACGAAATTCCATGAACATTAACACTTGAAAGCCACGATGCTATCTATACCATCTGAATTATTGTAAGATCTATCTTACAATGATTCAGTTTTATTTGAACTGCGGTCAAGAAATGAGTGTTGATTAACTCCAATTGTAATTAGCGACCCGCCCCGCTTTTATCCAGGTGCAGTGTTTTACAGTCTATTCATCAAATTAATTTGAAATGGCGTGAAGATTTGATGTGACGACACAAGCATTTTTTTAAATGGTACTTATAACATTTCTGCCAAGAGGTGCAGCGATAAACTTTTGAATATCTTGACTATATCTTTTAAATATAGGTATAAATAATACCTTATATTTTAGAATCATATAAAGAATATTTTTCCTTGCTATATTATATAACAAATGAATATGCTTAAGAACATTTGATGTAATGTTTATTAAATACCTTTATCTCCAAACATAGAACGTTAAATAAATGCAGAATTCATAACTTATCGTTGTTCTGCTATCATGTTTTACTTTTAATGAGATTCTAATAAGAGCTACGCAATTTAACAACAAATATAAACAGTTTAATTAGCCACGCTAAAGTAATGAACTGTATGTTATTTTACTTACATGTTTTTATCGTTTAAGGGCAAGCGCAATTTTAAAAGGTAATCTATTGAGTTTTTTTGGTAGATACCTCATGGCCTATATTATAATAACAACAAAGTTATAACTTAAAAATTTAATTTCCTAATGTTTAATGCCAATTCCATAATTTTAACAATATGATTACGCTTAGAAGAAATAAATACACTTATAAATGAAAACATGAAAAGCAATTTTAAAACACGTCAACGTGGAATTAATTATAATTTATGTAATAAACCTTAATTTTCGCAACCATTTAGGTATCTTATTATTGGAAAAATAACAAGTAAATAATAAATAACAGTAACACTTAAAATTGTTAACAAAATGCACAATACGTGTTTCTTAAAATTTAAAACAACTACTGCGAGAACTCACCCGCCGCTTTCTGCTTGGTTTTTCCGACGACTGAACGTGGTTCTTCACCCTGATGTTCATTGTTAAAGTTTCAAAAAACCGATTACCACTCTTTCATATTATATCACAACAAAAGTCGAATTATCACTATTTTCAATACAGCACTTGCGCCTAAAGTTTCGAAAGCGAACAACGCTCATACAACTTTTCGCTCCGGTAGCGTGCAACGTACACACAAAACGCAACGTGAGACAACGAACAAAAGCTTCATGCGTGCAGCGTTTGTTGGATGCATATTAAGTGGTGGGCAACGAAATCGCGGCGGTGTTTTCGCTCGGGCGACTGAAAAATCGTGAGCGCTCACGTTGTGACTGCGCGCATAGAACTCGGCGGGAAGCGTCACGCTACGCACCGAACTTGTGGTTGAGTGCCATCCTGCGACCGCCTCCCGGCTCCACGCGGCTCGCGTCCCACGCCGCCCGCGCCCCCAACGCCAGCGAGATAAATAATCTCGTACCCCCCATCCTTTAATTACTTTTACATGCAATCGTCAGCTTCCTTCAATGCTACTAGATAACTTCCATAAGTGTCACTTCGTCGCAAATCTGCAGCTCAGTTAATGTTAAGATCATGATGATAACTGCATCTATTAATTTCCTTTATACCCTTGATTTATTTTTTTAATTTCAGTAACATTGTTGTTTTAAGGATGAGACTTACAAGAACTTTATCTGAAACATTGTTTAATAAAATAAGTTATTTTTTTTACATTGTGCTAAAAAACATTTTATATAATTAGGACATATAAAGTATTTTTATCTCTAAATTTAAATTATTCAATATTATGATAGTATGCAGATGATACTATGTTAGATTATCAGAGCCGTGATAGCCCAGTGTCCGGACGTTCGCCTTTAATTATACTCTAGCAACCTGAGTTCCGATCCCCGATGCCGGCACCAATGAAGTTTTTAACTTTAAGTGCTGACTTATCACGTGCTCCGCGATGAAGGAAAACATCGTGAGGAAACCTGCATATTTTCGAATTAGCGTTAGACCTGTTGTTCATTTATTGTCGCGGTTGTAACGACACACTGTATATGTGTGTTAAACCTACAAAACGGATATGTGCTTAGTGCTTAGGGCAGCTCCTACAATACACCAGAAGTAACACATTCCATTGAATAAGATTCAAGTTAAAAGACTCGGTGCTAGTAAAGGAAATATCGAAAGCGATCAATGCGTGCGAGCTCTTAGAACATCGTAAACTTAAACATTGCAATATTACCATAAAGCATAGGCGCCATTACTAGAAAGATAACGATGATCGTGAATATTAGAAACCCGCCAACGAGTCAATGAAGCTGCGTATTTACGTTACCGCTAACCGAGCGATTTGTTTGCGCTGCAGTACCTGAAGCCTTTAAGATCGAATCAGGAGGCTTACATGTTAATGGCTAGAACGACGATGTTCGTTTTAATGCCCGAGAACTTTGCTCGCTAAAAGCTAATGACTATAAGCGAGTCCGTAATAAATGTCGGTGCGCGTTGACGCCGCATACAAATTGTGCTTGATTTAAGTGCGTGGCAACAGTTTGTGCAGTAATATCAGTTTACATGGAGTGCATTTGTTGGGGAAAGGAGATTTATTTTTTATAATACGCTCAGTGGAACGAAATGTTTATATATATAAAAACGTTGGTCCGTCTGCCAGCGATCGCTTAGCTCTTGAGCGGCAACGATTTGATCGTATTCTCACAACATATTTGTTTACTGTAAACCAGACGCAGTTCACAGTTGTCAGTTCCCCGTACCACAAAGGACAAAACGATGACTGCCGGATCAGCTAGTTAATGATAGAGTGGCAATAATCAAAATTTGAAACGACTGTTATATGTAAAGATCCCGTATACAACATCGTGACATATGTAATAGGTATGATTATGCATATATATATCATTGTTTGTATTCTTCATATACTGTGTTATAACTTAATCTTATAAATCAGAAACATTTTTAGTAACAAAAAAAAAGAACCGAATTCTAACATCACACTCGCCATACATTTTCTTTTTGATTTTCAGAAGTTGCCTGATATATCTCCGTAATCGAACGTCTAATGCAAAAAGAATTCTTCTTTCTTTAATAAATGGCTTCTCTTAAAAGAAATCTGCCAATTTCATGTCAGTCAAAAAGAATTTTTAAATACGGTTCATAAATTACTACCATTGAGTTTTGAGGTAATAAACGAAAAAACTGCAACCGAATGACAAATTTCTACTTTTTTGAAGTCGGTTGTAAAAAAAACTAGAAATGTTTTATTACATTTTTAATTTTTAAAGTCATCAGGGTTTGAAATATAACATGTTCTTGTAACATCTCCAACACAACTTTATATCAATTAGGTATTTTTAATGTACTTTTTGCGATTATTGTTACCTTCCATGTTTTTAGGAACCCAATGACACGTTATTTCAAATAGGTAAATTAGCTTTTATAGGTCTTAACTTTACAACAAGGTTTCTCAAAGAACAAAATTACTTAGACAACTCAGCAACTAGATCTGATTCTAATTGAAGTAAAAGTATTGGTAATAAAAGCTTTTATATAGATAAGATATAATCTGTTAACATCTTTATAATTATATGAGACTATATTTCTATTTCATTTAAAATTCATCGGACGTTGGAGAATTAATAATTAACAATTAAGAGATGCCCCGTCATCGGCAAAAACGCAATTAATGATGACCAGGCAGACCGATCAAAATAACTAAAACTTTAGTGAAAGTAAATATGTATAGCCACTTATTAACTAGCTCAGTGTCCGCGCGCTCGGCTTTAATTCAATATACTCGAGCAACCTGAGTTCGATCCCCGGTGCCGGCACCAATGAAATTGTTAATTTTAAGTGCCGACTTAACGCATGCTCAGCGGTGAAAGAAAACATCGTGAGGAAATCTACATATTTTCGAAATAATAACAAAAGGAAATTTCAAAGATATGTGAAGTCCGCTAATCCGCAGTGGGGTCGCGTGGTAGACTATGCCCCAATACCCTCTGTACAGAGGAGACCTTTGCCCAGGAGTGGGATATGTTTAGGCCGATACTTTTTTACTTATTAAATCAAACACGGTTTGCCTTCAATCAACTTGTTTCTCTACTGCGTTTTTCAAATATTATTTTTACAAAGTAACGAAGTAATCAGCTTCACAGCGCTGTTATAATATGTAAAATTGTGGCTTTATTCAATTAACGGTGCAAGCAAGTGGTTCTGACAAGTCGATTAATTGAAACTAGTGATTACAGCTTATCGTTATAAAACGCTTGTCATTCAAAAACGCTTTAGACCCAAACAACAAGGTTCACTCACCCCCGAGTTTATTAATCACAATATGGATGTGGAATTAAGGAAATCATTCCCAGCGAATAATTTTAATGGGCAATCATGATTAATAGTTTTATAGAAGTGAGTTATTACCAAGACAACACGATTCCATTTTTCTTCCCTTACTTCGTGCTACTTATTGTTAGTGCCATCCAGCGAATAGCCGCATATTGATGTAGGTGGCGAAACTCTAAGATACTTTTAAAGATTTTGTGCAAGTGTGTCTTCAAATATTTAATATTTTATGATCGATATATGATAATGGTTAATAAAAGTCTATGATTTAACAATTACAACATTTCTACCGCGTAGGTTTAAATCCCTTAGCCCACAGATCAATACCTAGTGTGCATATTTCAAAAATATAGATATACAAGAGTATAATTGTTACTTCTAGAACCACACACCGTAACATTAAATCTTTGAAAATAAGTCATAACCTATTAACATTTAATAAATATATATATTGTTTATGCAACATTAGTCATTTTAAAAAAGGAAGGCTGAGTCGTTGAAATACAATTAATCATCAAATTCCAACTTACAATGCTGTTTAATTAAAGGTTCAATTCTTCACAGTCACAGTATTGTTGCTTCACCATACAACTTATCGATAAATCAACCTAAAACGTCACTTAATCATTGAGGTAGGTACATCGCAACTGTTAGATAGAAATTTTGAATAATAAATCGTCTTCTGGACGCTCAAATATTGAGTTTTGGTTCAAACTTGTTTAGACAGATTAGTTTGATTGCCATCTCAATCACTTAGGAGAAAGTTCATTGCGTGAATGAATTGTTTATATTATATTTAATCTACATTTTTAATTTGATTTTAAAACGATTTGACATTAAAGACTTCATACAAGCTTACGACTTTTCTTATGAAACGTAAAATTAGAACATCAAACACTTGAACGTGATTTGATTTAGTAAACGTCTTTTTGTGTTTAATAAACATATTTATTGTAGTTGAAATAAAACTAAGTCAATTGTCATTAATGATCTTTTCATTTCAAAATTTTTAACCATTGATAACATATATAGTAGTTTCGACTGAAGATTGGACCAGTATCTCTGATTCATAAACAGACATTAGATATGTATTTGACATTAGCCATAATACCTACGTCAAAATTCCATCTCCAGTAACCAAATCTATCTGTAGATAGAATATTAAAACCAGCCGTTAATATATTGTGAACAAATAAAGGATAGTTTATAAAAGTAAATTATTATATTTGATTAAATTAAACTACCTGGGAGAAAACATGGCTTCCCAACTCACTAAAATCGCCTCACTTTCTTCGTTCAGTGCGTCTGTAGCTGCGCTGCACTACGTAAGGCATCGACGCTGTGATGTGCTGTAACAAGACACAACACGGATTGGCTATGATTGCCCCTTCTCAGTTTCGCATTGCTTAACCCAGGGCACCAATTTTGATCGCTTGCAAATCCAGACTCCCCATACCGCCTTACTGAGGTACGGAGGCTGGTCTACCCAAATAATTTACACTCTTTCACTTACGATTTTTCTTTATGAAAAATCTAATCAAGAATTCAATAATGGTTTATTGAATTCTCGATTTTTCGCATTTCATTTTAATTTTAATTCCCAACGTTTCTAACCCTTTCCAGGGTTACCCAAATTAAAAGGGGTTAAATATCAAAATAACCGTAAATCAATTGCATGT